AGAAGTTGAAGTAAGTATCATGTGAGTCTGAGTCACCTGACTTGCAGTTTATTCACGCTTTCTAAAACTGCTCCTGAGCCCAATCTCATGTGCACAATTTCCACTTAAAAATAAATTACTGCAGTGCACATTCAATTTTGCGGTTCAGATAGTCAGACGGTACCTAGGTTATGATGGATAGTATGAATTGCCTACTTCTCTACCTGGGCCTGGTAGCAAGTCAGGGGTTACTTTTCCATGGAGAAGAGAAGAGGGCATAGCTTTATTCCTCGAGCCCTAGGGTCTACACTGTGAGTCTCCTACTAAGGTTTGCCAGAATTTCTATCCAACATCTTTGTTTGCCATACATATATTCAATACATTAGGGACTGCTGTTGGCAAGGTGGCTTGTATGTCAGCTTAGATCTGCTGAAGAGTCTTTTCTTGCTCTGGGTCCATCTCAAATCTGGTGGGTTATCCAGGGTTATCCATAGTTCAAATCAGCCCACCCAAACGTGGTTATCTGTTGCTTCCCAAACCCAAAGAGGCCCACTAAATATTGTGTCTCTTTTATCATGATGGGTAGTCCAAGATGCAGTAACTTGTCTCTCATGCTCCAGATCACCAGACACTTAGAAACTTAACCAATATGGCAGTCCCTGAACTTTTGGGGGTAAAATCTCCCACTGTCTAGGCCGCTTGTTCCTTCCTGTTTGCCAAATCCAATTCATCTAATGTCATCAATGCAATGAATCAGTTGATGTTCTGTGAGTTGCCAGGATGATCAGGGTTTCTTTGTAGGACGTAAAGTAGAATTGGCACAGCCTTGAGACAGGACAGCAAAGATACAGTGATGACCCTACTATGTGAAGGCAAACTGCTTCTGATGGTCTTTAATCATAGGGATAGGGAAGAAAATATTTGCTGGGCAAATAGCTACATATGAGGTGCCAACGGCTATATTAATTGTTCCAGTAAGTATATCTGGAGCCCTTCACATAACTGGCATATTATTAAGTGTGTAATAATCTACATTCATTGCCCAAGACCTATATAGGCTTAGCATCTACCAAATGGGAACAAAACAGGGATGTGTGCCCATCTCAACCTCTGAATCATTTAATTTCATATTTTAAATTCCCTCAGAGATATTATTTTTTCTTTACTCAACTGGGAGTGAGGAAGCCTGGGGATCTTTATTCCATGAATCAGGGAACTGAAATGGGGATTTTGTCACTTATTAGGTATATCTCTCCTCCTTATGTTTTAATAGGTTTTATAATTTAGGTGTGGTATGGCCAACAGAACATGAGATGACTGCCATTATAAAGAGAGTTTGTTATTCACAGAGCCCGTGAGGAAGAGGCATGCCATGCCATGGGGAGGCTACCAGGGTAAGCATCAGGGTCTGTCAGGAGGCAGAGGGAGAGGGGGAACTGTGGGCAAGAGTCTTTATGTGGTTCCCAAGGGAAGGAAGGGGTGAAGCAGGGTAAGCAGATTTAGGATTAGCTCGTTTTAATAATCTTAGCAGGCTCTGGGGCACAAGAGCTGTCCCTAGCTGTCTGGCTCCTGGTGACCTTGGGGTGTTTAGGGCAGGTAAATAGTGGTCTGGAGTGTAAGAGCCTGATAAAGGAGGTGAATGGGGATGTGAAGTCTGGATTGGTTTATATTTGGAAAAGTGCCTCTGGGAGGAAGACTCCTCCCAGGGATAGGCAGAGTCACAAAGGAGGCAGGAAGCCAAGGCAAGGTGGCTCAGGAATACTATAGGGTTGTCCAGACAGGCTATGTCTAACATATGCATGCAGGGAGATGTTAAAGCATCAAGTTTACAGAAGCCAGAAACATAGTTAATACACATTAGGCATACTGGGAGTGAAGAAAGAACTTCAAATGTGTCACTCAGACCCGCTAGACCCACTGTGAGATAGACTTGGAACAACACCCATTCGATCAGTTGGTCTTTATAAACCCCCACCCTGCCCAGGAGACCATGGTGGCAGGTGTCCCAACACATCAGTTTATAGCCAGTAAATAATAACTCCAAGGAGACCTGGGTTACTTCCACTTCTTGAGTAAAGAGTCACTTGGGTAAAAGGCCCTCAGTTTCCTCTGGAGAAGGCTTAGGGCAAGATTCAAAGTATGTACGTCTTGAAATGCTGCAAGGTCCTTCCTCAAAAGGACCTGGCTTCCTTGTCATTTTTTATCATGTCTGGTATGACTGTAGAAGAAAGTTGGTCTGAGTTTAACCCAGACTCATGATGCGTCATCTGCATTTCTCTTTTGCATCATTCAGATCATTATTCAGTTCTTGGGGGATACATCTGTGCTTAGTTTTCACTGCAAGGACACAAATCCTTATGTGCCTCCTTCAAATGTCACTTCGGAAATTCCTTTGCTCTTCCTTTACCAGATCTCCGTATGTCAGAACACTCCAGCATTTAATCCTCTGAGCCCCTCTCCCCCTCTACATTCCTTCCTAGATGATCTAGTTTCACACCTCAAATGTCATCTATATACTGGTGGTTCTTAAATTTATCTTTCTCAGATCCCTCCCAGGCTCCAGAACTGCACAGCAAACTGCCCTCCCTCACATTTCCATGAGGATGCCTGAGAAGCACTTCAAATTTTGTGTGGCCAAAATGGATTCATTCACTGATCTCTCCCCTGTCTACTCCCTCACAAGTAAATAACTCCACCTTCCCTCTAGTTGCTCAGCCTGTACAAAAAAAGGAGAAATTTAAAAATCTTCCAATGGCTGTCAATGATCAAACAGAACAAACAAACAAGTTCCATTAACATGTTCTTCGAAGGTTCTGCATGACCTGGCTCTTCCTACCTCTCAGATACCTCTCTCCAATATTCTTCGTCAATCACAGTATTCCAGCCCTCCTGGCTTCTCCATTTCTCAAACACTAGAAATTTCTCCCTGTCATGGGCCATTTATACTTTCTGGCTCTTCGATGTGGAAAGGTTTTCCTGCAGGCAACCAAAATGGGGATGGTGAGACTGATTAGGCATATCTACTCCATGTATGTATTCTTCCTTTTAATAATAATTTTTTAATAGAAGTATAGTTGACACACAATGTTACATTAGTTTCAGGTGTACCACACAGTGATTCGACAACTCTGAACATTCTGTTGTGCTCACCACAAGGGTAGCTCCCGTCTGACACCATACACCACCACTGACTCTATTCTCCGGGCTGTACTTTCATCCCCGTGACTTATTCTTTCCATAATTGGAAGTCTGTCCCTACCTCTCCCTCCCTTTCACCCATTTGGCCATTCCTGTACCCTCGGGCAACCACTAGTTTGTTTTGGGGGCCTGTTTGGTTTTATGGGCCTGTTTCTGCTTTTTGTTTCTTTACTCATTTGTTTTGTTTTTTAGATTCCACATAGGAGTAAAATCACAGGGTATTTGTCTCTCTCACTCTGACTTATTTCTTCAGCCTAATACCCTCTAGGTCTGTCCATGTTGCAAATGACAAGATCTCATCATTTTTTACAGCTGCATAACTTTCCGTTGCGAATGCCGGTGTGTGTGTGTACACATCAATCACATCCTCCTCCCCATTCATCTATCGATGTACACTTAGGTTGCTTCTGTATTGTGGCCATTACAAATAATGCTCTGATAAACAAAGGGAATATATATATTTAATATATATATATATCTTTTTAAAAATTTATTTATTTGAGAGAGAGAGCACGAGCAGGGGGAGAGGGAGATGGAGAAGAAGACTGCCTACTGAGCACAGAGCCCAGTGTAGGGCTCGATCCCAGGACCCTGGGATCATGACCTGAGTCGAAGGCAGACGCTTAACCAACTGAGCCACCCAGGCGCCCCTATATATATCTTTTTGAATTAGCGTTTTCATTTTCTTGGGGTAAATATCCCGTAGTGGAATTACTGGATCATATGGTATTTCTATTTTTAATTTTTCCACAGTGCCTCAGGGCACAGAGGAAATCCAAGAAGGAAAAGAAACATGTCAAATCCATGGGGAACAATGTATTTCATAACTGTCTCCTGCCCCCAAAGCTCTGCTCTCCTCCCTGATGTTTGTATTTCTCCACTGCATCATTCAGTTAACTTCCTTCTCCACCCCCACAGGCCTTCCCTGACCAGTGTAGACCAAACCTCTCTGTAGGTAATTCCTCAGCCCCTAGACACAACTTACCCTATCCTATCCATCATCTTCACATCACCTGTCAGGACCTGTGATGATCTTATTTGTTCGTGTGATTGCGTGTTGATTGCTTATGTTCTCACCCTTTGTCTTGAATATAAAGGCTCTTAAGGGCAGGGATTGCACATCTGTTCTAATTAGAAGAGCACGTGATGTGGCAGCTGTAACAGGCGTGCAGCAAAGAGCTATCATCACCAAAGTTACCAGGAGCCAGAGGTGTGTACCTGTTTTCCAAAAATTTCAATCATATTTTCCATTTGGGGGAAAGTCGTTGAAAGGCTTTTATCTTACAATACTTAGAAACATCCTGCCTAAAAAGTAAAAGACAGATGAGACACGAGGCAGTTTGTATTAGACTGTAGACTTTTATTAGAACAAGCATTTCTCATAGCTGTAAGCAAAGCATTAGAATTCATAGAGCTAACGCATCTTTTCCCTGCCCCAGGAGGGCTGAAAAAGAGAGAAAGCCCCCTGTGCATCTAGGCTCAGTCGAGCAAACTATTGCAGTGAATGATTCATTGAGGCTATAAATGTTTGCAGATTTTAAGGCACTGGAGGGCATGCGAGGTGGGACAGGGCACAGTTCCCGTGTCCAAATGCCTTATCTTGTCTGACAATCTCCCAGCTTCCTTCCCCAGCTTCCGTGGCAGGCACCCAGGCCCAAGAAGACGGAGCACAGCGTATTCATGATCCTCATTCAGACCCCAAGCGATCCAAACAATGTCACAGTTCGACTCCCACCGGAACTTAGTAGAAGATAAACTGCATGTTATCAACCTGCCATTGCACTTCATGTAATCAGACCTCATTAAACCAGATTTTCCTGAATGCCTTCACGCTTTGTGCACTTTCAAAAGCCACTGACCTGAGCCACAAAAGCATTGCCCAATTTGTTGAAAGCATTTTGGCTGTGACTTCAAGGTCTGACCACATGGGGAGAAATTACTTTTTAACACCCAGTGGACAGGACACTCCGGTGCCCCCGAGGCCGCAGTACCCATCGGGGTTCTTGCTCAGGTACTGCTGGTGGTACTCCTCCGCGTAGTAGAAGGTTTGGCCCTCCCGGATGTCGGTCGTGATCAGGCCATAGCCGTGCTCCGAAAGAACCTGGGGAGAGAAAGGCGCCATGAGGACTGGATGCTAGGCAGAGAGGGTCTGAAGGATCCGGGTGGGGGGTCCGGCCGTGAGGGTGGCAGACGCGGGTGGCTTGGGGTGTGCCAGTGGGTCCTTGTGGGCCCGAGCTCTGCCGCTTCCCAGCTGGGTTATTCTAGGCAAGCTTCTAGCGCCCTGTGCCTCAGGTGACTGGGGCCTGAAATCCAGTTTTCTGATTCTGTAATTTGCATTCTACCCATTACACCAGCGCTGCCCCCGGAGCGGACTGGGAGCCCTGCTTTGGGCCCTGGGGTCTGTGTGGAAGGGGCCCCAGGGCTTCCCGGGGAAAACAGCAGGGCCCTGTGGCTGCCTGGCTGTCCTGGGAAGAATGGGCCTCCCTGAGGGCACTGGAGCAGGGCTGCGGGAGGAGGGGATGGAGGGGCAGGGGCAGGATGGGACTGGCAGGGCTGCGGCCCCAGCCCAGTGCTGTCCCCTCTGCTGCCAGCTCAGAACAGGCCCCCTGCCCACTCACAGGCTGGACCCCGGAACCCCCACGCGCTGGGGTTCTAGGGAGCTCGGGCGCTGCCTGGGGGCCTTGGACAGCACAGGGTCATCTGGGTCTGTGCTCTGCCACTCCAGCCCCGGGAGCCTGGGGACTGAGGTCAAGGGAGGACGTGGCCTGAGGGCCTTTGTGGGCTCATCACCGCCCTGTGTGACCTACTTTAAGGCCTGGTGTCATCTGCTGCCAGGGAAAGAAACAGACACGTAAACACAAGTGGGGGAGGAGAGCAGAGCTATTTGGGGCAGGAGACAGATTAAGAAATAGACATTGTTCCCCATGGATCTTAGCCCGTTTCCTTTCCCTTTTGGATTTCAGCTGTGCCCTAATTCTTCCTTGTTGCAGGCTGCTCGGGGCATTTGGGCACAAGGCTACAGAGACCCGACCCCGGGTTTGCAGATTCCATTTGGTCCTGAAATGCCAGGCAGAGCCCCGACTTGTGCTGGCATGAGGATCTGGCCAGTCTTTGACTGTTGGTCCATTTGAGATGGAGTCCTCCCCTCTGCAGAGCAAGGGGACTCTGGTATTAACATTAGGCATGATTCAGTGCTGCCGTTTTCTCCCGGAGAACTTTCCCCTTCTTCCTGAGTCTCCACCCAGCCCTCTGAGCCAGAATGAGGCAGACTGAGGATCTAACGCCAAGCAGGCCCAGGATGGTAAGGCACAGGATCCATGCCAAGGCGGGCGGTTGGACCCCAAAGCTCGGAAGCAGCCAGTTTCCTTACAGGGGTTAGAAATGAGAACGAGGAGCCATTCTGACTTCAGTTTTGACAATTTTTTGTAAACGAGCAATTATCGAGGGCTTACCATATGCCACACTCTGTGCAAAGACTTCACGGTGTTAATTTTAGCCTCCCAACAGCCATATGAAGGAAGGACTATTATTATCATCCGTATTTAAAAGCGCGCGTCAGAGATTGTGTCTTGATCCCTGACATTCTCAGCTCGCCCTGATACTGCAGAAGCTGGAAGCTTGGAAAACTACATTTCCCAGACTCTATTGCCGGCGGCAGTCCAGTTGAGATTTCACCAATGAGAGAAGCACACATGAAATTGGGCAGAAGAGAGGCCATTATTTGCAAGGTGCAGCCATGAAGATGGGCACTGTTCTCTCCAAAGAACAAACGGAGACTCTGCCAGCTCACCCTGACCATCGTGGACGGTCAGCCTCAGGCAAAGTCACCAGCAATGACTTCTAGCGATTTCGGTACCTTCTTGGGATCCTGAAATGCAGTGGTGCTGTTCCCTGACCTTCCCTCAGACAGCCTTTCTAATGACTCTGGAAGCATCAATTCCCTTTGTAAAATCCACCCTCCTGCTTGAAATACCTTGAACACTCTCTTTCCGTGACTCCAACTAACACAGCAATGGGTTCCAGAATTGTTTTCAGGGACCAAAACCTCAGTGAGGATGAGAATCTGGAAGGGTTAACTGTCCTGGCCAGATTTAGAGTAAGAGATGGCCTCACTGTGACTGGGGAGCGGGTCAGTGCCCATGGGGTGTAGTCGGCATTTACTTAAATTACGGCTAGTGTTTGTGAAGAAACATCCACTGTAGGAAGGCTTTGGGACCCTAGGTGGCTGTGGCAGTGGACTATTCTGGTGAAGACGATAAAGCACGAGGTCTTTGTGGTGTGCTGGCTGCTTCAGGCCACCCTCGAGAGCTCGTAGAAAGAACAGGATATAAGGTCATGACTTGACTTTCCTGGCCTGAGTTAAGAGAGGCAGAGAACTTCTAGTAGTGATGTAAAATAATCTGTTTCTTGTAGCTGCATTCAAATACCAAATAAAAGGGGCCCAGCTTTACCAGTGGAGTTGACACCCTCACTGGTCAGGAGCCCAGAAATCACATGCACATGGGATTGCCCTCAGAGAGCTCATGCAGTCACACTGTTGCAGACACCATGTATGGAGAGACGCTCCCCTCCGGTTCTTACCCGAGATATTGCATGCAGGCTGACGTGAGTCTTCCATATTCTGATGGGACCTCATATTGGACCTCGAAAGCTTCCTGCTATGGCCACACTGCACAAGAGCTTGCCCACTGTCGAGATCCTCTGCACCTTTCTCTGTCCCTCACTCTCAGGGCCGGGACCCAGCTCCTGGGTCTGCCTGGGTCTCCAAGCACTTGCCTCATCCCCATCCAGGCTCTGTCCTCTCTGAGGGTGATCTCACACACGACTCACCCTATTTCTCTTTCACAAGTGGCCATCCTCCTTGTATGCCCAAGGATGGCCTTCCCGAGGCCCTGGGGTTCACTGAGCCACTGACTCTAGAAGCTTCTTCACTGAGGCAGAGAGGCCAGTGCCAGTGAGCATTACTGCCCAGGCTCCCTCCTCCTCTCCACACCAGCTCCCACCCCAGCAGACCAGCACCCCTTAGGGGGAGTAGTGGGAAGGTGACTGTGGGGTGGGGGCCCAGGCAGTACCCGGCCTCTGCCACAAGATGGCAGACACTTCACTTTTATTTGTGGGGAAACAAGAATAAACAGTGATGAAAACCCACAGAAAACGGCTCCAGGTTGCCCTCCTGCACCTCCTGTTAAGCTGGGACATTCTGGCTCATTCTTGTTAGGGTAGGAGACACCTGCCGGAACCACGGGGCCTGGGGTCAACATTGCCCCCTCTGCACTGGGCCAGCCAGCCTCTAGGCTGAGGCCATCCTTGAGCACAGGGCTGTGTCTGTCCTTAACTCTCACTCTAAAACTGGGGAGGGGGGACAAAAACACATGAAAGGAACTGGATGTAAAAGCAGAGGGAGCAGGAACCTCCAAATCCTAACCAGTGTCTCATTTTCCTCCTCCTCCATATCCCCCACCTCTGCCTTCTCACACGCAAGGCTGTGGGGGCAGGTCAGTCTCCTCAGCGCCCCCAGGCCCATCTCCTGGAGAGGGCTCACCAGACACACACGTCTGGATGCAGTGATGGGGGTCCCGGGGGCCCGTCTGCTTCAGACCTGGTCGGTGCCAGTCGGCTTTGCCAGGCCCCTTTGCTCGTTCACTCCGGCCCTTCTTCTGCACTGTTTAAGCTACAGGGTTGCAGAGAACAGGACTCGGGACCAGGGCTGATTATTGCTGGTAATGGCACCTCCTTAAACCAGGCAGCGAGGCCTTCCCCGATCCCTTAGGAGAACCCACCCGCCCTTCCAAGCTGGGTTCTGCTTCACCTCCTCAGCCTCATGTCCTTCATCTTTTTCTAACTCTTTCCTTTCCTTCTCTGAGAACTGTTTTTGTGGGTCATATTAAACTTTACAGATTTCCTGAACATTCCATTCCCTTGCACACAACCTCCTTGGAATGCTCTTTCTTCTCTTTCCTATCACGTGAGCTCCCACCCATCTCTCAGCACTGAGATCAAATGTCCCCACCTCTATAAAACCACTCCTGAGTCTATAAGGCAGAAGTGACTCCAGCTTCTAGGCTCCCACAGAAGGACTGTCCCTGTTAGCACTTATGACATTATACTACAATCGTCCTTTGTTTCTCTAAGCCACTCCCTCTCCCTTCTGGCAATACACGTACTAGACCGTGTGCTCGAGAGTATGGACTGTCTTGTTCCTCTACCTCATCTCAGTGCTTCATACAAAATAAATGAATGAATGAATTTTAAAAAAACAGTTGAGTCTTGGGATCTTTTGGGGATTCTCTTGACCTTAGGGGCTTCTACTTGGGTTCCTGCTGCTGCCTCAAGCCCAAACACCTCCTTGGGGACCTGGGAAGGAACCTCAAGAGGGAGACTGGGGACCAGGGAGCTCAGGCTTTCACTCTCCTTGTCACAGACGCCTGGCCAATTCCATGGGTAGGTTTAGTCTTTAGACTGTGGCAATGCAGTGGCTGTGTCCATTCAGGGGGGACCAACCATTTTGCCTAGAAGGATGACCTCAGCATCTCTGACAGCTCCTGAAAAGCCTGTTCACTCTTCTGGGGGTGGGGGGGGCGATGGGGGGGCATGGAGAGCAGCAGGAAGTGAGAGATGAAGACTGGGTTACAGATGTTCCCTCTGGCCCCCAAAGTCCACTTGGCCCCATGCACAAGCTGTGCAGGGACTGGTGGTGCACCTCAGTCTTCTCCTATAGCATCGCCTACACCAGAGGCCCCAATCAGTTATGGGGGTGTCATGAATAATGTGCTACTAATAATGGCTAATGTATCGATGTTTCTGAGAAACTTACTTTTCCTCCATGAATTAGGGCAGCTGGAGGGCTATCCCAATCCAAGCACCACTGCAGCTCTCTTGCCCACTACAGTGGGAGGGAAGGGAGTGTCAGGAGAGTTAAACTGGGGTGGCACATAAGCCACAACTGTGTGGTCTCTTCCACTGTCTATGATGGGGGGCCCACGCCGATGGTACCATTCCCGATGACAGAGATGATGAATCACATCACCTACAAAGTTTGCTGGTATCTTCTAAAAAGGAGGCTGTACCCATGAAAGTCTGTTGCCCATAGGAAAATCACAG